GGGGGGGGGGGGGGGGGGGGGGGGGGGGGTAAAGAACATAGCACAAAACGGAGGAACAATGAAAAACAAGCACAAGGGCAGCAAAAGGTTGCCCCAACAAAAAATCCACCAACTGGCACATATCAACGATAAATCACTCCTGAGTAGAAGACAAAGGTAGTCCTATGGTTGTAATTAGATCGACAAGTAAATGTCAACTCTAGGACTTCCTGTTTGTTTCTCCATTTAATAATAATAAATAAATAAATAAAAACACTCGAGTACTTCCAGTTACACAGCAGATGTTAGGTCAATGTTCAGTGTTAGACCTACGCCCAACTACCATCAAAGTTAGAAATTATCTTCAACTATCCATATGGTCTCTCTGACCATCTCAAAGGGGGGCGATTAAGTGACAGAATCAAAGAAACTATTGTTCTTCTGTTATAACAGTAGTACTTCATATCTTATTAGCATTTTCATGATTATGGGATAAAAAGTATCAATTCCATAACTCATTGCCACAAAACATTTTATGGGAAAATAAGATACAAACTCCGTAATCCATGAAATCAACAAACATTAAATACCTGCATATGTGGACCAAGGGATGCTTCCACAACTTCAGGTAATACAGTATAGTTGCCGTCAATATAATGCAGACGCACTTGGATATTACTACTCCCAACCTGGGAGACTGGTAATGGATGTGGAAGACTAGCAGTACGGCGGCAGAGGTCTATAAGTATGAGGAAAAGGACTTTCACCTGCAGAGTGAAAATTAAAGCAGTTGAAGCCTTCTTTTACACTAAAATGATGAACTCACCTAATTAACTTCATGCCAAATTAGGATCTATCCTTGCAAATAAAAAGGATCACCCTGATGCGCATACCACCAATGGTAAATACCACCAACTAGAAAGCTCGGGTAAACTAGGAATTATCCCAAAGGCCTAAAAAGGAGGAAAGGAATAGATAATCTGTACTAAAACTCGAAAAAAACAACTTTTTCTACCTCCTCAGAAGTATATCCTTGACCAGCATTGCCTGTACCGATTCTTGACCTACCAGCAAGCCCTTCTTCAGCTCCTTTAGCTCCAGTTACAAGCGGAACAGCTCGAGATATTTGACTTTCCTCAGGCTTAATTATATTTGGCACTGGCTTGACAGAATTGGAGCTAATCTCCTCCACTTTCCCAGGAACAGTGGGTTGAGGCTTTTGGATGTTTGCATCAGCATTTTTTTGTGAATTACTAATATAACGGGGAAGCTGTGTTCGGCGAAAGAAAAAACAGAAGAGCAAAAGTTGGCATAATCTATGTAAGAAATGGCAATCCCCAATAAGCCGAACAGCTGGGGTTCCAGGAAAAGTTCCAGTATTTATGCTTATTGGCATAAAGGTAGATGAACCACTAATGGGGTTTGGGGTTGAACTGGATACTCCATCAGTTGTGCTACTAATCT